TAAGACTGTGGAAATTATCCTGATACAAAATTCTTGCAAAAAGTGACATCTACATTGCAAACTTTGACTGTGTGTAGGAAAAGTCTCCTCAAGACCGGAAGGTATTAAATAAGTTTGTCCCGCATGGAAAATAAGGAAACATGAATATACATTAGGGTGTGTCATAGGAGGGAAGATCAAAGCAAAACTAATGGCCCATCACTTTTTTGGTAGATTGTAGTATATGTAAACAGAAAATAATTTCAGTTTCAATATTTTGCAACCTTTTGCTAGGTAAATTTTAGCGTGAAATTTATCGAAAATCTAACGTATAGCTGCATTAGTGCATTACAATTAAATAGTGAATATTGCTTTCTGACTACATTTCCTTAACAACCCAACTAACAATATTTTTTTCGTTTCCCAGATCTCTGATGCATTTATAAGTTGATAATATTTGCGATGGCTGCTTGTAGCCAGGACGAGGAACCAAAAATCCAGCCATCTCAGTCACTATCTTGGCTCCGGGAGAGAGTTCCTTGAAGTCGGAGTTGTTTACATTGAGAGATGGAGATACGCAGGTTTTAACTGTGCAAATCAGTGAAAAGAACCAAAGAACTTACACAAACAAAGACACATTAAGCAGTGATATGACCAAAGCTGTCTTGGCACAGTACACTCTGGCTAACGCTCAGTTCAAGCCTCCAGCTAACAAGTCAGAAGAAGATTAGTGAGAGACTGCTAGCCAAGTTGGGGAAAAAGGCAAGAGATATCTCTCTGGGAGAGGAAAACTTGCAGTTAAAGACAGCTTTGCGGCTAACCGAATTGCTATCGGACATAATTATTTGCAAGTGCCCAATTGTTCTCTTGTCCTGAGTTTGGATGCGATCGTGACTGTAAATCTGGAGGCCCACATCTCCTGTATTTGCAAGCGTGAACTGAAGATTCCTGGGTGATCGAACAGGCATTTGTCAAAGCACAGAGAGAGAAGACTATAGTATAGGGGCTTCCAAGTGATTTCTAGCCAAGATATTCCGGAGTCCAAGAGACAGGAGGCTGCCACAGAGACAGAAGAGGAGAAGAGTTGCTGAGAAAGAGGACTTGAGAAGGCCCAGGGTGAGGTAAAAAGGCCGATGATTGGAGTCAAGCTGATTCAGAGTTTAATGACTTCCCCATGGCTGATCCGAGTGCTGACCAGGAGAATGGTGACTTTGTCCCTAACCAGAAAATAATGATCCCAAACCTTTCCAGGCATAAGATTCGAAATAGAAAGATATCCCACATAGCTCTGCCAGCATGCGACACCACACTGTCTCAGAGAAACTGCAGGAGATAGCAACAGCTGCCTGGATTGACGGTGGTTTGATAACACCCGATGATGTCTACCTGGTGATAGATCATAACAAAGTAAGGAGAGCTCAGGAGAAACTTGTCAGTAACCTAGAAGAGGAGTTTGATATGGGATACAGGTGTTGAATCACTGCTGTTCTTGATGGGAGAAGGGATGACACTAAAGTGTCTATGAAAGTTGGAGATTCTGGACAAGTTGTTCCCTGCCATGGTGAAGGAGGAACAATTACTCCCTGCTGCAGTGAACCAGGAGGGAAGTATTTGTGCATTTCACCCAGAGAAAGATGACATCAGAAACCAGCTGAGATAGTGGCAGATAACATTGTGAACTGGCTCCAGAGAGAGGAACGTGACCAGACTCCCTGCAGGCCATTGGAGGACAGCACCAACACGAACACAGGGTGGCAAGGGGGGTCATACAGTGGATAGAGGAAGATTGGGAGGAAGCTGGTCTGGATTGTTTCTAGACTCCCCACACCAACGAGTTGCCACTCAGACATCTGGATCCAGGAGCTGATGGCAAGACTTTTCTTCAAAACAACAGATGGTCTGGTCCTTCTTGGGTGTTGATGCTGGACTCTGCCACTCGAGTTAAATAAATCCGAGCTTTGAAAAAATCACAGCTGGCCCTCCACTCGTTGAGCTTGCACATACTGTCATTGACGACCTGAGTACCGACCAGTACTATGGTTAAGATGATTTGCAGTGCCATCAAAACCGGGGCCAAGTGCGCTCTGATAGACTTGCTTACCCGCAGATAGGTCCAGTCTCACATTCTAGGTGGCTCACAACGGCTCCTCAGGTTCCCAGAGAATTTGGGTCGCCCATCATAAACTGAAAGGGAACCAGCTTCACAACCTGGAGACTTATTGGTCCAATTCATCAGAGTGCTCCACGGCCAAATTGGTTCAACACCAAGGTCAAGTCATTGTTCTCCGAAGGTCCGGAGGTGGCATGTTTCCCTTCCAGCTTGAGCTCCTCGAGGAGTCAGCCATGAAGTTGTTCAGATTGTGGAGCAGATCAGAGAGATCTTTCCTGGTATGCTCATCCTGAGGCAGTTCTGGGCAGACAATGCTCTGCAGTATGGATGTGAGAGGAGAGAAGAGTGGAAGTCAAAAGATCTTGGATAAGTGAGACTTATGAGAGGATCTGGGCATGATTGAATCTCGTTAGAGACGATTCCTTCAGGGTCAGGAAGACTCCTGGAAGTCAATCTAGGTGCTGCTAAGACCACTGTGGATCTCATAGATCTGGATAACATCCAGGCTGGCAGTGAGCCCCCTTACCTGCAGCCTCACCAATGTTCAAGTCAGAGCTTCCTGGACAAACCCCATGACATGTCCCTGCCTGGCCTCGCACACCCAGAGTATAGAGCGTTGTGTACAGTAAGTGAGCGAGGCCAGCAGTCATGCACAGGAGAGGAGGGAAGGACTGAGCCTCAGGTGGTCAAGTAGGGGAGGTGATGAGTAGAAACAGAAGCAAGAAAGACATGTTCTCTATGTGCAGCAACACCGGCCGAGTAGTAAAACCGGTTTTTATTGATGATTTTGAGCTTAAAGGAATATTAAATTTAATAAATGTGTCAAGATCATCTGTTTCACTATTCTGGATCATTTTCATCCTAATAAATTATCCTGATATTTACTTTACTTAAATAGTTATTTAGTGGTGTTGGCAAAGGGCAGGAATACTGAATTCTTTTCATAAGATTTCAAGTTAAAATTCTTACTCTAGCAAAAAATGAAATCAAATTGAAGATATCAATTGATTTACCATAGAACTACATCATTAATACCATGGGCCATTTTCAAACTCAAAAAAAAAAATCTCCTCCGTATGACACACCCTAATATACATGTATATATCTATATATCTATATATGTAGAACAAAGAAGTATATCTGTGTGTTTGTGTGTATGTTTGTGTGTGTATCCCAACGAGAATCTCGGAAACTACTTTACCGATCTGTAGTGATGATGGATGGTGTTATATGTAGTGATGATGGGTGGTGTTATATGTAATGATGATGGATGGTGTTATATGTAGTGATGATGGATGTTATATGTAGTGATGATAGCTGATGTTACATGTAGTGATGGATGATGGGTGGTGTTATGTGTAGTGATGATTACACAGTAAAATAATAACTGTTTAATGCCAAAAAAATATACTTTGCTGTACCGTTGTAGTGGAACTTACATACACCGTTAATGAAATATTGATGGAATAAGAAGTTTTGGGTAGTGAACAGTGAGACAATGTGGAGCTTCCCGAAGGGTGGCGTCCTACCGTGACCTAGCGAATGAGCCGCCCGGACCAAACTTGGCATGGATAGCAAGTGTTTCCTTGCTTCTCTTTCACGGACAGTTCTATGTTGGATGCTCCAGAGTGGGAACTGGCAAAAATCTCTACATACTTGCCAATGGCAAAACCAAAAATGTGGTCTACCCTAATACACTACAATGAGACAATGTGGAGCCTCCCGGAGGGTGGCGTCCTACCGTGTGTGTTCAGACGAGAATCTCGGAAACTACTTTACCGATCTGTAGTGATGATGGATGGTGTTATATGTAGTGATGATGGATGATGTTATATGTAGTGATGATGGATGATGTTATATGTAGTGATGATGGGTGGTGTTATATGTAGTGATGATGGATATTGTTATATGTAGTGATGATGGGTGGTGTTATATGTAGTGATGATTTGACAATAAAATAATAAAAGTTTAATGCTAAAAAAATTTAATTTGCTTTACTGTTGTAGTGAAAAACATGGTGGAACTTATATACACCGTTAATGAACTATTGATGGAAGACGAAGTTTTGGGGACTGAACAGTGAGACAATGTGGAGCATCCCGGAGGGTGGCGTCCTACCGTGGCCTAGCGGATGAGCCGCCCCAGAGGGCGACGATTCTGCTAGTTTATATATATATATATATATATATATATATATATATATATATATATATATATATATATATATATATATATATATATATATATATATATATATATATATATATATATATATATATATTGAAAGGAGAAGAAAACACGAAGTTCCTAAGCGCTAGTTCGTGCTTTTCTTCTTGTGGTTATCAGCATATACCTAGATCACGCGCACCTACAGTGATTTATTTGATATATATATATATATATATATATATATATATATATATATATATATATATATATATATATATATATATATATATATATATACTGTATATTTTTTTCTCCATATTTGCAAGAATCGACCAATACTTCAATTGTACATGTTGGCAACCACTGGTACATGTAGACATAAACACTACTGTATAGTATCTTCTATTACTATTACTATTATTATTATTATTATTATTATTATTATTATTATTATTATTATTATTATTATTATTATTATTATTATTATTATTATTATTATTACTGCTATTATTATTATTATTATTATTATTGTTATTATTATTATTATTATTATTATTATTATTATTATTATTATTATTATTATTATTATTATTATTATTATTATTATTATTATTATTATTACTTTTATTAACTATTATTGTTATTATTATTATTATTATTATCAAAGCTAGTAGCTAGTATTAGTATTATTATCATAATCATTATTATTATCATGTGTTTTAGGTGGGGTTTGAACACTTACTCTAGGTCTCCTGGGTGGCCTGCCGTCATCATGATTGGAATGGTTGCCGTCTTGATAGTTGATAGGGGATATACCGCCTCTTGGGGGCCGGTAGTCGGCAACCTGAGAAGTATTATAATGTTGATGTTGAGGTGATGAATCAACCATAGGTGGTCGCCCCTCCTTTGAAGAATCTATTGATGTGTATGGAGGACGGGCAGGGGAAGTGTATTCCCCCTTCGTCCGCCCCTCTGGCAGATGAACTGCAGAATTGTATTGGTGACGGGGAGGCGACACACCTCAAGATCGGCATTCTGGCAGATGAGTTGGTGAAGAGTTGTACCGGTGGCGTGGTGGAGAGACACTGCTTCTAGGAGACCGTCCCAGAGCAGGCTGAGATGTATACTCATTCGCGTAGGCAATGTGGTAAGGCGTCGACATTTCAGGCTCCAACGGGGAAGCAAAGTCGTCGGCGAAGTGTTCCTTACCTGTATTAGTCAAGCGAAACTGTTCATATTAATGTTTCATTTATATATATGAGTTGTCTCGGCAAAGAATGATCATTGATTGTAATAATAATTTTAGTAACATAAACATGTCTTTTCCAGGAAATTATAGAAATAATAATTGGTGCTTAAAAATAATTATAAATAATATATATATATATATATATATATATATATACTGTATATATATGTTACCGATTAGCAATATCTTTAATGTATTTATCTTTTCTGGTAATTTTTGTCTGACCATAAAAGATCTTGAATATCATTATAATATATATAAATGAATAGTTTCACACAAATCCAGACCTAATAATTATGACCTCACCTACTTTATCTCACTGTCCAATTCCAAAGGTGCGGAAGTAGAAAATAAACCAGGGTTGTTAAATTTGGGAAGGTATACTTGGGATGATGAGACAAGGGTAATATAAAATAGGAGGAGAGAAAGAAACATAATTTTTTACAAAGGAAATTCAACATTGGGGGAGGACATCGGTACAAGTGAGAGGTCAAGAGTGTATGAAAAGGTAAGAGTGAAAGGTGTAGGGATGCAGTTAAGTGATGAAATGCAGAGGTAGGTGGTTCAATACCTCTGAGTTGTCCCAGAACATTATATATCTGATCCAGAGAGTGAGAAGAGGGACAAAGAGATACACAAAGTTTGGGAAGCTCTATATAACTATAACTTTATTATGAGAGATAAAGTGATTTGAAGGAAATAATATTCCAGAGAGGTTATGAAGTTATGAAGGATATTGTGGAAAATAGAGAGAACCAGGAATAAATGGAGATAGGTGGGAACTAATGGAAGTGGTGATGAGAAAGAGATTTATAACTATACAGGGAGCTATTGGCCATCCTCGTGGTGGTCAGAATAATGTATGTCCCGGCGTTGTCTTGATCATTATTTGATAACAACATAATAATAGAACGGAAGAAAAACGATGAAAACACACGAGTGGACAACACACAAGTGAACAGCACACGAGTGAACAGCACACGAGTGAACAACACACGAGGACAACACACAAGTGAACAACACACAAGTGAAAAACACACGAGTGGACAATATACAAGTGAACAACACACAAGTGAACAGCACACGAGTGGACAAAACACAAGTGAACAACACATAAGAGAATAACAAACAAGAGAACAACACACAAGTGAACAAAACACAAGAGAACAACAGACAAGTGAACAACACACGATTGAACAGCACACGAGTGGACAGCACACGAGTGGACAACACACAAGTGAAAAACACACGAGTGGACAATATACAAGTGAACAACACACAAGTGAACAGCACACGAGTGGACAAAACACAAGTGAACAACACATAAGAGAATAACAAACAAGAGAACAACACACAAGTGAACAAAACACAAGAGAACAACAGACAAGTGAACAACACACAAAAGAGCTCTAAGTGAACAACCCACAAGTGAACAACAAACAAGTGAACAAAACACATGAAAATTATATATATATATATATATATATATATATATATATATATATATATATATATATATATATATATATATATATATATATATATATATATATATATATATATATATATATATATATATATATATATATATATATATATATATATATATATATATATATATGTATATGATATTAAGATGTATGATAGTGGATGTTAAGATGTATGATAGAGGATGATAAGCAATAAAGTTTCTGAAGTATAATGGGAGATAATAGAAATGTATATGATTAATAGGAATTGTTGTGTGTTCTGTAATATTCACAGAGGCAGTGAGGAACATGTTAGAGTTGGCTTATTGGAGGAAGACAGGAAGTACGGCAGTTCTCAGTAGACATTTAAGAGTAGGAATATTTGATACAAATGACAGGGAAATCGTCTTCCATTTACATATAATTTATTATTTTTTTTTAGATTGAGAAGAAAAGTTAAAAATGGAATGTGAACAAAATTATAGATGGATATAAGTACAGTATAGATAGAACACAAAGTTAACTATTTGATTAAGAGAATGGTTGTGTACCTAAGATAAACAGGGTAATAGGTACATTTATTGTAAAAACATAGGATATGTTCCTGAGGTCATATATGTGGCAAATTCCGGATAAAAAATATTAAATTAGTTCAAGTTTAAAGAAAGATTTTTGCTGTATATAATGGGTCTGACTTTGAGAACATTCTCTTTCCCTATTAGAATTAGCAGGCAGTCCTCTCTTATTAAAAATCATAGATTGCAATTTTGTATTATTTTAGTTAAATCTTTATGAAAAAAATCGATTATTGCAATGTTTTCGTTTTATTGCTATAGCAGGGATGTCAGAATCAAAAGCAAAATTGACCCATTCATCGCTGTCCTCTTACAGTGTTCCCTTCCACAACTCGGCCTGTGTTTATCGTGTGGTTTACTCAAACGTTTCACACAACTTAGAGCCAGCTTTCTTTTGAAATTATGTTCTCTGATTAAACCTGCACAGTCCTCCTTCCTTGATGTTCATCCTTTCCACTCTCCTCTTTAGTCTATCCTCCTTACTACATCAATGTTTTTGTTCACATTCCATTTTAGACTTCTCAATCTAAAAAAAAATTAATAAATTATATGTAAATGGAAGACGATTTCCCTGTCATTTGTATCAAATATTCCTACTCTTAAATGTCTACTGAGAACTGCCGTACTTCCTGTCTTCCTCCAATAAGCCAACTCTAACATGTTCCTCACTGCCTCTGTGAATATTAAAGAACACACAACAATTCCTATTAATCATATACATTTCTATTATCTCCCATTATACTTCAGAAACTTTATTGCTTATCATCCTCTATCATACACCTTAACATCCACTATCATGCACCTTAACATCCACTATCATACTTTATCGTACACCCTAACATTCTCTATCATACATTATTATACACTGTAACATCATCTAACATACCTTATCATACACCTTAATATCCACTCTCATACACCTTAACATCCTGTATCATACACCTTAACGTCCTCGATCATACACGTTAACAACCTCTACCATACACATTAGCATCCTTTATCATCCTCTATAATACACCTTAACATCCTCCATCATACACCTTTACATTTTCTCTCATACATCTCAACATCCACTATCATACACATTAACAATCTCTCTCAGACGCCATAATATCCTCATTAACCTAAGCATCCTTTATCATCCTCTATCATACACCTAAACATCCTTTATCATACACCTTAGCATCCTCTGTCATACACCTTAACATCCTCTATCATCCTCTATCATATACCATAACCTCCTCTATCATACACTTTAAATACCTCTTTTATCCTTAATCATCCTAATTCATTCATTTTAAAATCCTCTATCATTCACCTTAGCATCCCTTATCATCCTCTTGCATACACCTTAACATTCTCTACCATACACCTTAACATCTTCTATCATACACCTTGGCATCCTTTATCATCCTCCATCATACGCATTAACATTCTCTATCAGACACCTTAACATTCTATATCATACACCTAAACATCCTCTATCATACACCTTAAAATCATCCAGCATACATCTTTACATCCTCTATCATACACCTTAACATGCTATATCATACATCTTGACATACTCCCGCATACACCTTAATATCCTGTGTCATACACCTTTACATACTCTCTCATACACCTAGACATCCTCTTTCATACATCTCAACATCCTCTATCATACACTTAATCCTCTTTCATACATCTCAACATCCTCTATCATACACTTAATTAAACATCTACTATCATACACCTATCATCATTTATCATACACCTTAACTCCTCTATCATACACTTTAATATCGTCTACCATGCACCTTAACATCCTCTATCATCCATTATCATACAGCCTAACATCCTCCATAATATTTTATCATACACTCTAACATCGTCATTCATACATTATCATACACATTAACTTCCTTTAATATTGTATCATACACCTTAACATCCTCTATCATACTCTATCATACTTTATCATACACCTTAACTTTCTCTATCATCCTCTATCATTATCTATCATACTCCTTGATATCCTCTATCATACGCCGTAACATCATCTATCATCCTCTACCATACTATACACCTCAACATCTTTCTTTATCCTCTACCATACATCTTATCATCCTATAACATACACTTTAACATCCTCTTTCACCCTTTATCATACACCTTAACTTCTCTATCATACACCGTAATACACCTTACCATCCTCAATCATGCACCATACATCCTCTATCATACACCTTAACATCATCTATCATCCTATATCATACACCTTAATATCCTCTATCATATACTTTAACATCCTCTATCATCCTTTATCATGCACCTTAACATCGTCTATCATCCTCTACCATACACCCTAGCATCTTCTATCATACGCCGTAACACACTTTATCATACACCTTAACATGCTCTATTATCCTCTATCATACACCTTAATATCCTCTGTCACCCTCTATCATTCACCTTAACATCCTATATCATACTCTATTATACACCTTAACAACTTCCTTTATCCTCTATCATACAACATAACTTCCTCTATCATATACATTAACATCCTTTATTATACACGTTAACATCATATATCATACACCATATCATCCTCTATCAAACACCTTAACATTCTCTATCATCCTCTATCATACATCATAACCTCCTCTATCATACACGTTAACACAGTCTATCACCCTCTATCATACATCTAAACATCCTCTATCATACACCCTAAACATCCTACATCACACACTTTAACATCTTCTTTCATACATCTTAACATGTTGTATAATACACGTTGAAACCCTCAATTATGTTCTACATACATCTAAACATCCTCTATCATACACTTTAACATCCTCTACCATACAGCTTAACATACTTTATCATTGTCTATCATACACCTTAACATCCCTTATTCATCCTCTAATATAAAGCGTAACTTCCTTTATCATACGCCTTAGCATCCTCTATCATATATCTCAACATCCTCAACCATACACCTCAACATCATCTAT